TTTTTTTCAGAGATTTGTCACAATATTCTACCAACATTTCCCAGGACATTTTTTTTTTCCTCACCCACTTTCCATGGTATGAACCAGGAATATAGTTTGGAATAAACTGCAATCTCCTGATTATTTGTTAAAAGAGCCCATTTCCAAATAAGAAAGCTCTGATAGGACAGAAATTTCATGGAATCCACGCCTGCTATTTCTAGTTTTGACCTAATCTCAAAACTCCCACAACACAGCACAGTGATGCCTCTGGGATCTTAAAGGTAAAGATTCCTGGCCCTGCCACTATATATGACACTGTGAAGTAAAAAGTTGAGAAATACATGAATACTTTAACCAACTGAGACAAGAAGTCTTAAAATATCAGGCCAAAATCAGCCTCCTCTTTTTTGTTTTTAAGATTACTGCATATGAGTGTTTTTTCTTAATTATCTAGTTAATCGTCCTTGTCTGTTTTAATCTATTCCTGGTCATTTTTTCTTTTTTCTTTTTAATATGTATCCAGAGAAGACTGAAGCTTTGTGACTGAGATGAAAACACATCTGTATAGTCTATACCTATTTTTTTAAGCTTTAGGCTATCATTGCCATACCTTCTTTCATTTTGAAGACTGGCTGCACTATTTAAATTGGAGCATAATCATAATTCTAACTGAAACCACAAAGAGCTGACCATTTACATAATACTATATTTTTATGAAAAAGCCACACAATACAAAAAACAAACTGACAATAAGAACTTTTAAGAAACTTTCAATCCATCTTCCAGAATTTCAATACTATAAGTGATACTCAATGTCCATTATGACAAGCCAGAGTGCAAAACAGTCAGTGCTTTGTGAACTGCCACAATTTTAAAAATCATTTTAGTTCTGACTGTATGTAATTGTTTTCTAATGGCTATTAACCAGATTCCAGATAAATGGTTGTTTACTGTATTAAAGAATAGCTAACTACATTACGAGTCTAATGAGGGTTATGGAAATAAAATACTACTTGCAGGCTAACTGACAATTTACAGGCCAACTCTCAGATGACATATCATCATTATGTATCAGGTGTCACAATTTCACTCATGAATATTCCCAATAATTATGATGCCAGTGGCTTTCAACTTCTCAGGTAACTGCTCTCATACTCTAGGATGGACCTAGACTTCGATCTACTTTCATTCCAAATTTACTTTTTTGGAGGTAGTGTTATTTACCTCTTCTAGCTTCTGCTGACAAAATCAGGGGGACCACATGAAGATATTGTTTTAGGCAGGGTGCTATCGTTAAGGAAAGAAACACAGTATATCCCGCGTGGAGGCCGCTGCAGCCTAGTGATGCAGTGTAACAAGCAAATTGTTTTTATTTTGTGAAGTGTACTTTTGTTTTCAGAAATTCTATTGGATGATCTCAAAGAAAGAAGATAAAATTATAAGGATCTTTTCCCAGGTATGGAACCCTGATGGTGCAGTGGTTAAGAGCTTGGCTGCTAACCAAAAGGTGGGCAGTTAGAATCTACCAGCTGCTCCTTGGAAACCCTATGCGGCAGTTCTACTCTGTTCTATAGGGTCGCTGTGAGTAGGAATCAACTCGATGGCAATGGGTTTGGTTTTTTTGTTGCTGTTGTTTGTTTTTTTCCCAAGGTACAGCCTTCTCAATAAATGTAATAAATCACCTAAGCCTATTTTATTCTTTTTTCAAAAGAACCACAGACCAAACAGAAGTCATTTTGACATGAATGCCTTTCAGTATTTCATTTTTTTATTTTATTTTTTCTAGCTCTGTTGGAAGATGAGTGCACTGTAAATATTATGATTTTACCTTAGTCTTCCTGAAGACTCCATGCCTCTCCTAAGGGCTTTGGAAGTGTTCCAGTTCTTAACAATAACCTGAAGCTGGCCTGCACTATATTGTGGCTGAAAGACACTATTTTATTTATAGTCACCATCTCACACACATTTACTGTTTTCAGTTTCCTGAGGAGCACAGAAAACTATTCTACAAATTTAATATGGAAGAAAGCATATATCAGATAACTTCCTACTTAGGTTTTTGTTTGTTTTTTTTTAAATGTGTAACTCTTAATTCAATTCAACAAATATTTACTGAGCATCTACTCCCGTTTGGGTGCTGTTAGAAATATAATAACATAGGCTTAGTGTTGTTTTGTTATACAGATCAATTCTTTCAGGGGTCTTCATAAATTCCTTCAAAATTTATCAAAATCTAGTTTTTTCCTTTGTACTTGAGAAGTTGGAAATAACCTGTTTCCAAATAAAGGGGGACATCTTCTTCTACCTCATTTCTGGAATGTCCCTATGTAATCATCTATACTTTCCACCTACAGTCTCTTTAAAACAATGCTACTTTTTTAAAAAGTTGTTGAAAACAAGATGGTTCACTAACAACTCAAGCAATGTGGTCAAAATTATGTTCAGACATGCATTCTTCTGAAGATACCCCAGTTTTTTGGACTAGAATGGTCAGGACAAGGAATGTGAGGACACCTCACTCACAGAACGGGGATGTATAAGCATCGAGGAATTTGGCATATAGCATACTCACCTGACAAAGCAATAGTAAGTTAAACATCTAGGAAAGATGGCAGAAACTTCTGGAGGAGTCAAGTCAGATAAACCTTAAGGCTGTAGGGTGGAAGAAGTGGATTCAGGCCAAAGATAAGAGAAAGGCTAGTGGCACCCTGGCACTGCCAAAAAGACAGATGTCTTGTAGGTTTCAGAGCAGGAAAGAAGCAGTTCTTACATACGTATGGTAGTGATTAAGGTTTACAGAGGGTGCCAAGAGGTTAGGCCTATTTATCCACTAGTTCTTGTCACTGGGTATATGTAGATTTGGGGTGTGAGGAAGGAGGGAACTGTTTTAAAAGAATACAGGAGGAGGAAATTCAACTGAATTTTTGACAAACTCTACTTAACTTCTATACTTTTTGACCTTGATGTACTATAACTTCTTTATTATACCTGTTCATCTCCAACCATAGAAATTGAATTCACAATTATTAGTCTATACGTCTTGATATACCTGTATTTCTACAGCTTCTCATTTTTAACTTTACATACACAAAAAAAAATATTTAAGATTTTGTTCAGGTGTGATAAAAATAATATTACATGTCAATCAATAAATCTCCCCCCATTGTTGATTTCCAGGGAGAGAGATTTTTATTATTAGTAACCCATTCTTTATATGAAAGTATGAGATAAACTACTAAAACACCATTTCTTTAGTAAATCCAGAAAAATCACCATGTCATGTACATGATAACCGTAAGTGACTTTCATCTTAATTAGGTTTATAAACTAGTGTGAATATTAATTCATTTACAGAAATAAATGAAAATAGGTCTGATGTCTCACTAAATGCAATCTGCCTTCTTGATAATGTCTCTAACAGACTGCAAGACACATTTAAATACAAACTTCTCATAGCTCCCTATTCACTATAGCTCAACAAAGAAAGTTCCTTTCTAAAGGACATAGGGAATATTAAGCATTTTATTGAATAAATTTTTCAGTTTTGATATACACAAGTTATTAGTTTGCATGACCCTACAATGTACCCCTCAGATGGGAAAAAAAAAAAAAAAAACTTCTTAAAGGGAAATTGTGGTCAAAGGATGGAATTTTGTATGTAGCCCTTGAAATTTTGCCACCTAATAAAAAGGTAGAGTAAGATCTCTATAACTAACCAATGTCTGTATCAAAACTTCATTCCCCTCAATGGCTTACTCTCTCTGTGATTTTCTTAGCTTTATGATTCTTCTTTATAGCTATCTAAATAAACAGAGTAGTTCTTAATGTAGAATTACAGGGAAAAGGTGACCAATTAAAGGAAAAAACAGTTATAAAATGTTAATTTACATTCTAAGATCCCAAGACTCTGAACAGCCTACATTATAAGTTCTCCCTCTCTCTGTGAAAGTCTTTTACAATTGCTCCAGAGATGCTTTAAACTAAACAGATGCATCAAAAGTCACAGTTCACTGAACTAAAAACACACCAACGTTTTAACAACCAGCTTCTTCTTATGATTCACAGCTCTGGTAGCATTTTTAAGTTCCCTAAGATACACTTAACTTTGAACTTAACTGAAACTACCTGACACAAAAGCTTTTCCTAATTTCTTGTATCTTTTGGTCTGAGAAAATAATTCTCAATGAGAAAGTAGAAGTCATCTGCATTTTTATATAATAATGTAGTTGGAATAAGAATCGTTTCTCCCCCATTAAATAGCAGGAGAGCTCAAAAAGTTTACCAACTGACATATCTGAGTGTTTTCCACTTTCTTCCAAAAGATGAAAAATCACATCAGACAGGAAACATATTCTTCAGATTAGTGACAGGTGTAGAACAAGCACACTAGTCAGCATTTATTTTCTTTGTCGGTAAGCATGCTCAGTGAGAGAGGGTACAGCTCTTCCTTTTCACTGAAGTGACACACATCATATTATTCCTTCATCTACACATCACCAAGCAGAAAAGTTCCAAAGTGATAAAACCACTCGACCTTGGTTGAACACAGGCTATTCTTAAAAAATAAAATTTCAGTACTAAAAAGAGAGATGATGACTATGATGATGATGATGATGATGATGTTCATGAGTCTAGCTTAAGAATTTCTTTAGCAGGAAGGAGGAAAAGTTGTTTCCATTCTCATCCTCATTTCTCTACAGACCAGGAAACTTATTCAGGAGGTGAATGAATTAGAAGCTCTGTTTAGAAGTTGAGTGATTTAAAATGCAGCACAATAATATGGTTCAGGAAGCACTTAAAATTGCACTAAGAACTGGGTGCCAATGAAGTCAGTTTTAAAGTAAAAATACCCCCCTCCCTGGGGTGCCCACCCAAAACCCACTTCTTAGTTCTATTTTCTCTTCTCTCCTAGCTACACGAACAGAAACATCAAAGCTGTGACACAACTCTGGGTAAATTCTGGAAAATGCGGGAGGGAGTAAAAGGATCCCTGGTACAAGTTTGGATTTAGGATTTACCTGCTCTGATCCCAGTTGGCAGCAAAAAGGACGAGAATCTTCCTGCCATAGTGGTCCAGATTGGCCAGGCCCCCAGGGAAGCCATCCTTCAGTGCTTGTTTGATACCAGGGTCAGTGGCCTTGAAGCTTTTGAACATGTCCAGGTTCTGCTGCCGGTACTCAAAGTACTGGGCCAGGAGGCGGAAGGCCTCAAAGTGATGAAACTTCCTGGCCCGCAAAAAGCGTAAGATGAAGGCATCGTCCGTGCGTAGAAAGCCAATGTCCGGCCTGGTGATGACCATATCCCTCACCTCCTGGATGTCCTGGTGCAGTGTGTCTGGGTTCTCATTGAGTTCTAAGCGAGCTTTCTCCAGGGTCTCAGGAGAGAGACCAGCTTGTAAATGAGTCATTGTTCTGCTTGTTCCTGAACCTTCACTTCCTGTTGCTGACTGTCCTACAACAAACCTGTCCCTTCCACCACCACACTTGCCCCCAGACCTCACCAACCCCGGTTTCCTTTCCTTTACAGGAAATGATTCGTCCTGGTGTCCAATCCAGTACCCTGTTGCTCTTGTCTCCCCACAGCTTTTCCGTGGGGGATATAAACTTCTTCCCCCTGATCACCTGAAAAACAACGCCCCACTTTGGTTCCCTCTTCCCTTTCCCTTAAAGGGATAAGGACTTCTGGCCAGCCCACCACTCCTTTTCCTGTCCTTCCTCTTTCCTAACAAAACACCCCTAATCCTACCAGGCACGGGTGGTGCTGATCTTGGTACTGTCCTCTTCTTTTCTCTTCCAAGATGTAACAAAAACAACCCCCACGCACATCTCAGCCCCAGCACTGTGAAGCTTCTGCGCCTGAAGGATGCGCCTGCCAGGGATAACGATGGGAATTCTGATTAATAATAATGTGGCTCTTCAGCGCTGAGCTCCAGGGCGGGGAGAGAGCGTCTTTGCCAGAAAGAAAAAGAAAAAAAGAGAAAGAGGTGGGGGAAAGAGCTTATTTCTCCCTCTGCTTATTCAAAGATGCTATTTTAAAAAGACAATTGTGGGATTGTATTTAAATTTTTTATGATCCAATTAGGTGGAGACTCTGCAGATAGCGCACTTTCCCTCCTTCCCTCCTAGATACACCGTGATCTCACAAGGCTCCAGCACGGTTTTTGGTGGCGTTGGCACCAGCGTGGGCTCCCCCGAACCCCACCCCCAACTTCTCGCTTCTCTCAGCCCTTTATTCCAGCGGATTTACCGCGGGAGGAAAAAAAAATCTCTCACGAGAATGCACGTTGCAAAAGCAGAGTGCGGGAAAGGGGGAGAGTGGAGAATATCTTTTCTATATAACCCCAAAGCAAGAGAGAAGAATGAGGAGCCTGCTCCTACCAGCAAACCCGGAGGCGGGGACGCTAAGCAATGCGGCACTGCCCTGCATCCATCAGCTGCGACTTCAGCAGCGGCGGCGGCGGCGGCGGCGATAGCAGCATCAACTCCTCTCGGTGGGATGTAGCTGGCAGAGAAGAGGCGCGGCAGCGAGGACCCGGGCCGAGGGTGCAGTCGGGAGCAGCCGCGGCCACATCGTCCACCAGCAGCCCGCTGCCTCTCCCAGCAGGAGGGGTGAGGGAGCAGAGCTAGAGCCACCGCTGCTCCAAGTCCTCGCGTGGCCCAGCCATTCTAGCCTCCCGGGGAGGAGAAGGAAGGGAGCAGGACCTCAGCGCGCAGATGGAGGAGGCCACGCGGTGCGGCTGCCGCCTTTGTGCGCCCGGACCGCTGGGGACGTGGGCGCGGCGGGGCGTCTGCTGCGGGTGCAGATCTCTCTTGTGCGCACCCGAGCGGCCGGAGTCAGGAGCGGCCGGAGTCAGGCGCGTCCCGCCGGGCTCCTGCTGCGGCTCGAGCTGCTGCTGCTGCTAAAAGAGGACTTGGCTCAGCCCAACTCCTCTCTAATTATCCCGGCACAGATCTCGCTGCGACGTAAGCACTCACTTGGATCGCGCACGCACTCCGCTCCCCTCTCCCAGGCTGTGTTGGTCAGGACAGCCTTTTCCCGGGCTTTCAAATATTCCGAGCCCCAAGTTTACCCTTCGCCGGGTCCCCACTCCCCAGCAGGATACTTGGGCGGCCATCCCCCGGCCAGGCGGGGAAGAGACGCCTTCCAGCCTCCCCACGCCCCTCTCACCCTTTGTATACAAGACCCCAGAGCGGCAGGCGAGTAGCTGTTGTAGATGATAATTCATATTGACACACATTTTCTAGTGCCTGTAGGAGGTGATTTTGATGTGGAAGGAAAACGGAAACATTTTGTACTTTGCGCATTTGTTGTTGACAGAAATGTTTGATTTAGAAAAGAGGATCAGAGTGGTTCTAAAGCGCTGTGTTGATGATTAAGCCTCCAGAGGAACTTATATGAATAGTATTTCAATCATAGACTCTGGCTGCTAAATTCCTATTGAACAGGATGATAATGAGCAGCACTAGGAAAAAAAAAATACTGTGCTCAAATGAAGAAAAAATAAGCACTGCTTGACTCACTTCTCATCTCATAATAAACTATTTCTGGAGATACATAAGATGTTTGCCTCGGTTTTATGCAGCTGTATTCTGGAATCATCATAAATGAACAGGGGTCTTTGAGCTGAAATGTTGATTGATACTGTTTTGGGGGAAAAAAATGTTTTCTGTTTTCAGAACACAGCATGTATTATTGAACATGTCACTAAGATGAGTTTCCTTACAGACTGTAGAATGAGGTCCTTGGTTCAAGTCAACGCAATGCGACAAATAATTACTAAGCTGGCACTATGTTGAGCGCATTATCCTACATTCTGTGGGTATAAGATGGTGGAGGCATAATCTTGAGGAAAAAATATATATTGTCATGTTTTGATGACTCTTAGAACCATCTGATTCCAGGCACCCATTTTTCCCCCTCATGGTAATGGGATTGGCAGAAAGAGAAAGGAAGAAGAGAGTTGAGTGATACACCTAAACCACTGTTTAATTAAATTAATGCAAATAATGTAACAACCAGAACAAGAATTAATTACATACACACACATATAGTCACTGTGCTTAAGGAATTTACATTTTTAACTGGAGGAGGCAGAACATAATATATTAATTATATAAATTAATATATATATTTAAGGTCCTTCTTGAACTTTATGTGATTAGGCCCCTCAATAGCATTCTGAATGCAACATGAACTGTTAAATAATTTGTTCTAATTTAAAAAGAATTCTGAAAAATTCATTTTTTAAATATTCTAGAAGCTGAAGAAAGTTTGTGTCTCATATCAATTGTATAAGTAAGTTCTGTTGTTATTGTTATTGTTAGGTGCTGTGGAGTCAGAACTGTACTCATCAGGAACCTGTACATAGACCAGGAGGCAGTCGTTCCAACAGAACAAGGGGATACTGTGTGGTTTAAAATCAGGAAAGGTGTGTATCAGGGTTATATCCTTTCACCATACCTGTTCAATCTGTATGCTGAGCAAATATCGAAAAACCAGACTATATGAACACGAACATGGCATCAGGATTGAAGGAAGACTCATTAACAACCTGTGTTATGCAGATGACACAACCTTGCTTGCTTAAAGCAAGGAGATTTGAAGGACTTACTGATGAAGATCAAACACTACAGCTTTCAGTATGGAATACACCTCAACATAAACAAACATCCTCACAACTGGACCAATAAGCAACATCATGATAAATGGAGAAAAGATTGAAGTTTTCAGTGATTTCATTTTACTTGGATACACAATCAATTGCCATAGAAGCAGCAGTCAAGAAATCAAACGACATATTGCATTGGGCACATGTGCTGCAAAAAACCTCTTTAAAGTGTTGAAAAGCAGAGATATCACTTTGAGGACTAAAGTGTGCCTGACTGAAGCCATAATATTTTCAGTCGCCTCATATGCATGTGAAAGCTGGACAATGAATAAGGAACACTCAAGAAGAATTGATGTCTTTAAATTATGGTGTTGGCAAAGAATGTTGAATATACCATGGACTTCCAGAAGAACGAACAAGTCTGTCTTCGAAGAAGTGCAGCCAGAGTGCTCCTTGGAAGCAAGGATGGCAAGACTTTGTCTCATGTACTTTGGACACGTTATCAGGAGGGATCAGTCCCTGGAGAAGGACATCATGCTTGATAAGTTAGAGGGTCAGTGAAAAAGAAGAAGATTCTCAAAAAGGTGGATTTACACAGTGGCTGCAACAATGTGCTCAAACATAGCAACAATTTTGAGGATGGCACAGGATTGGGCAGTATTTCCTTCTGTTGTACATAGGATCCCTATGAGTCAGAACTGACTCAACTGCACCTAACAACAATTGGTAATTGCTAAAACCAGTAAGTAACATCATGATAAATGGAGAAAATATTGAAGTTGTCAAGGATTTTATTTTACATGGATCCACAGTCAACGCCTATGGAAGCAACAGTCTAGAAATCAAATCACATAATTGCATTGGGTAAATCTGCATGTCTTACAAGCAAGGCCCTTTTTTCTGGACTGTATTTTCAAGGATGTTTGTGTAATGAACAGACTTGGAAGTCTTGGATGATAGAGATAGTACCTCCCTCTGGAGCAAAGACTAGGTTTGCTTATAGTCTTGGAAAATGTAGCATCTCCCTTCAGAGGAGGCCACCTAATTTAGGACTCAGGAGTTTCTCTCCTGTTAAGCTACCCAACTGTGTTCGAGAATCACCTGACCCTCTTCTGGTAGCTCTGTGAGAATTAGGGCTGACGGAACCAGTACAAACTGCTCGCTGTGCCTAAATACTAAAGTCTTTTGTCTCAAACTCAGGAGTCGCACATTTGCTTCCAGCATCCATGAAACTGTGGAGGGCTAACTTGTTAGCTTGCCAGTAAAATTAAATCTCAGATCCTTGACAGTGCTTAACACCAATTGCTTTATTTGTTCTCTGAAATGGAAGTATGGAACTATATTTCTAGAAAGGAATTATGCAATAAAATCAAATTTGTTGTGCCATGGTATGAGACTTATATTTAGTGTCAATATTTGTGTTACTTACGATGTTATTATTTATATAATAGTGTTGTTGTTAGGTGACTTCAAGTTGATTTCCACTCAAAGAGACCCACGTGACAGAGTAGAAATGCCCTGTAGGATTTCCTAGACTGTAATCTTTACAGTAACAGATCACCAGGTCTTTTTCTTATGGTCCTGCTAGGTGGAGCCACTGAGTCAGTTCAAACCTCCAACCATTAGGTTAGTAGCCGAGAGTGCTAAACCATTGAGCCCCCCGGGCTCATTTATATAATAACTATCAAATACATATTTTAGTATTTTTATTATCTGTCAATAATATGGAGCCCTGGTGGTAGAGTGGTTAAGAGATACAGTGAGCTCTGGCTGCTAACCAAAAATTCGGCAGTTTGAATCCACCAGCTGCTCCTTGGAAACTCTATGGAGCAGTTCTTCTTTGTCCTATAGGGTTGGTGTGAGTTGGAATCGATTCGACGGCAAGTTATTTTATTTATTTATTTTTTTGATTATTAATAATACAGAGTATTGCTTCAAGTAAAGTTCATTTTAATATATAAATATATGATAA